AAATATTTTTATATATTAAGATTTCCTAGTAACGGTCAGAAGATATGGTTTACATTTTCGTTCTAGTGTTCCTGAATTCCTGTACCTGTAATGTTTACGCGGTACTAATCCTCTTGTCTAATCGGTGCATACATTTTTAATAAATTTAGTCCCCTTCGTATCAGACAAAAAAAATAATAAATAATTTCTTTAAGAAAAGATTTTTWATATAACTTATAATAATTAAAACTATAACCGTTTAATTGTATATTCACAAAAATATGATTTTTGTGCCAATCAATTTTGCGTTGCTTATAATGTGTATTTTATTGTTCTTTACACGTATTCTCTGTTATTCGATTACAGCTGGTGAATTGCTTTTGCCGGAACTTAACGGAAACGTGGTCACTACTAAATTGCTTCCTTTGCCACCGATAAAGTACAAAGAAGGCGACGAAGTGGACGACGAAGAAGATGACGTGGTGAAACCAGGAAACACGTGGTGTGTGGATTTTCCAACTTCCGGTTGGTCGCAGTTTTGTACGCTTTGGAAACGCATGATCTTGCAACTGTACAGGAACAAGGTAAACACTTTATTTGTACAATAAGTATGCTTATATTAGACAGCAATAATAAATTGGTGTATAATTTCTGTTTTCTATAAATATTATATAACCATCGTGTTATGCCCTCGTCGATGTGATATTATAATCACGCATAAAATATGCATTATTATAATATTAATATTAGTATATTATTATAATTAAATGGTTCGTTGTTTTTGTGTTTCACTTGGACAACCACAGATCGGTTTAAATATACAGTTTTACCATCATCTCATCTGTGGCCTGGCGGTAGGCATTGTGTTCTATGGCAAGGCCAACGATGGAGAACARTTCTTCAATCACATGAAATTTTGCATGGGCAATATTCTCTTCCACACATTCACGCAATCGATGATACAAGTRCTCGCATGTACGTTTATAATATATTATACACTAGATACTTATTACATAAGTGTATTACATATATGAAGTTAATTAATTCATAAATGACAAAAGTTTTGTCATGCAAGGTCAATCTTAGCGTTATATTATTATTTACAGCTAAACCGGCGTATTCGTCTGTAATGAATAATGATATTTTATCCGAGTTGCGTCCGTGGTTTTATCACGACACATCCGAGTTGCGTCCACGGGGTTTTCAGCGACTGAGAATAATATTTGGTGATAAACTAGTAGATATCTCAAGTATCGATATCTTATCTGTAAATATCCCTTTACAATTAATTGTTTGAAATTAATTTTGTTCATGTTAGCATCAGTAACACTTCGATATTCCATGTTCGATAAATCAACATATTTTTATTTAACTTTGCAACAGAAAATTTTGAAGTAATTAAAATGTCCAATGAAAAAAATAAACTATTATGCACTGTATTATATCTATAGGGTTCGGAAGTTATAGGAGCAAAAAAAGCAAAATATGCAAGACAAAATTAATGAAATTAATACAATGGGCAAATTTGATAATTAATATAATATGAAATAGCAGAATTTAGCATTTAGGGGCAGGCACTCAGTAGCACCACCCGACCGAGAACAGATGTCGTGGGTTTTACTTTTTTTTTTT